AAGCCTGACTAACTTTTATACCTGTTTTGTTTTCTTTCAGGTGGATCTCTCTTATTTTTAAGAGGGGCCGGATGTCAGAATCCAATTATACTTCATCTCCAGTTATCAATTATAGAAAACCCCATTCTGCCCTCTCTGGATTCTGTCATAAAGAAAGAGAGGGGGGTGAACAAAGGGGCTTTATGGCCCTCACTTCCTTCGGTACAACTTCAAAGGGTTTGAATGTGGATAGCACCAAAAGGCCTCATCATAACAAAGGAGGCTATTTACCTTTCATGTAGTTTATCTGAAGTCTCCATCCAGCCGGCAGAAAGGAAAAAGGGGTGGGATTGTGATGCCTGAAACTGTCACTGGAAGAGGGGGGTGATTGGGTGGGACTACTGGGGAACCCCTTAAAACCTCGAATGGGAGAGCTTGAACCCCAAGTCCTGTCTAGAACGCCTGCAACCATTTTCTCTTAATAAAGGATTCCTGTTGGAAGAATTATTCCAAGAGTTCTGTCTTCTTAAGATGCAAAGTGGGGTGGGTCCTTACAAAGATGTTTTAATGAGATCCCTAAAAAACAGGAGAGAGAAGATCATTTTGACTTTTAGGGGAATATTCCATGAAAATTCTTCTTGCTTCTGTGATTTCTGAAAATGGCCCTCTTTGAGTAGGGATTCATTTGGTGGGCAGAAGGAAGGGAAAAGTCAGTCCTAAAGTACCTAGGACCTAAACAAATGATTGCCAACAATTATACCTGGAAGCCAACTGGCAGTTCTTGAAGTAGTGTGTTATGATGAGAATGCTGGAAACTATTGAAGCTACGGCATTCTGGACCATTTGTAGAGTTCTGTTACTGCAAAACAGAAAACAAGTTGCTATTTCACAAGATCTGTAGATGGGCAAGAAAAGATAATGGTGCACAAATTCCATATGCATCAAAAATTAAGATCTAGAAGTCTCAACATTATTTTTTGTATCATGGTGACCAAAACCTAATGCAGTATTCCAAGTGTGGTCTTACCAAAGCAATATAAAGTGGTACTACATGTGATCTTCATACTATTCCTCTGTTGATGCAGCCCAGGACTGAATTGGCTTTTTTGGCAACTTGCAGGACACTGCTAGCTCATGCTTAAGTGGTTGTTCACTAGGACTTCTAGATCCCTCTCATAGTTATTGCTGTTGAGCCAGGTACCACTTATTCTATACCTGTGCACTTGGTTTTTCTTGCCTAAGAAAAAAAAAATTCTTGCCTTTAGGCCATCTCCAGTATCTCAGACTTAACTCAGAAGGTTACTGGCAAGTAATGCAGCTTGCTGAGCAGAGGTGTTGCATGTGCCAAATGAGGAATGCATATAATTGCCCAAATCACCACATTTTTCACCAGCTGAAGCTTATGAATGGTCTTCAAGGGCAGCTCTAAGCAAAATGCATTGCAATGGTATGAAAGGTTGCCCTAGAAATGAAGTCAGATTGGTAGATTCTGTATAAAAACTATTCTGTCAGAATAGAATAGATGTTGTTTGGAGCAGAAAAGAGAGAGTGGAGTGCCCACTTGATAAAATTTTTAGAAACATACAAAATCAGTTTTGTACAAGGTTACTGGAGATTCTTCCCTAACTCCTAAGACTATTATTGCCCAATATATACAAACCTTGCTGTATATATTTATGGTTTGTACCATTTTTAATGTAAACTATCCAAAGTTGCCTTATGGCAAAATGGGTGGCAAACAAATTTAACAAAATAAAATAATTGTATTAGTTCAACTAGGAAAAACTTTTACCTAATGAACATGAAGTAATTCAAGGGAAGCTTATTCACATTGGTTCAGAGTGCCATCTTACAATCTCTTCTTCTTCTTCTTCTTCTTCTTCTTCTTCTTCTTCTTCTTCTTCTTCTTCTTCTTCTTCTTCTTCTTCTTCTTCTTCTTCTTCTTCTTCTTCTTCTGCTTCTTCTTCTTCTTCTTCTTCTTCTTCTTCTTCTTCTTCTTCTTCTTCTTCTTCTTCTTCTTCTTCTTCTTCTTCTTCTTCTTCTTCTTCCTCTGCCATATCCATTATCGGACGTTGGCGATCATGTTGGCGATCCTGTTTTTATCAGCAGCCACACAAAAAAGTGCTACTGAGTTTTGTCCAAACCAGTCCTTTAGATTTTGAAGCCATGATGTTCTTCTTCTGCCTGAACCTCGTTTGCCTTCAATCTTTCCCTGGAGGATTAAATGGAGTATGCCGTATTTTTTTGGGTGTCGTAGCACATGTCCGAAATATTCTAACTTTCATTTTTTAATTGTTTTGATGATTTCCCTTGGCTTTCCCAGGTGGCTTATCACCTCCTCATTACAATCTCTGAAGGAGAAATTCAGACATGGGCAATACCATTCCTTATAGGTTGCTTTCACTGACTTAAAATTAGGCTTCAGTTCTGTTTTATTCCAAGAAATCACATTGATTGCTCAGCAGCTGCTCTAATTAGGCTACAGTCATTCAGATGTGACTAGGCTGATTGCAGAACGTGTAATCTATTAAGGGGTGAATATAGGATTGTATTCTAGTTCCCCCACTGTTTAATTTAGTGATAGATGTCTTAATCAGAAAGAACACCTATATCCTCCTAAACTCAGTAATAGGCATTTGCAATATCACTGTATGCCAAGGATGCAGAAGAACAAGCATGTACTCACTCTTAAGACCCAAATTATGATTTTTTTCTCAGAAAACTCAATTGTCACAAATATCAATGCAAACTGGGAATAATAATATTGAAAAAGTTCCAGCTTTGAAATATGGTGGCAATTTTTTTCAAGCCTCTGGAATTTAGTAGGAAAACTTAGAGCTCTTGCCAAAGCAACAATATTCCCAGGGCAAAATGTCAAAATCTTCATGTGATGTCATTGTCTTTTTAATTTTTTTATGCTATTTCTTTTATGCTTTATTGCATCTTATTCATTTCTCCCTTTCTGTTTTTAAGATAACTTTTACATTATGTTGTGTTTATTTGCTTTTTATTTCTATATTTTTAGTCTTGACTGTAATTAAATATTTTTTCAGTGGAATGAAAGGAATTGCAATTGTTGTATAATTTGGGTGGTAGGAGAAATAGAAACCTTACAATGACATCTTGCAGAAAGTATTTATAATCTTGAACAAAATCTGACAAGCATTCACAATTTAAAGAATGCAAATTATAGCTTCAGCAATGTTTAAGGATAAATATTAACAAATTCTTGTTGTGTAAATGACTTTGTAGTCATCATTATGGATTGCATCAGCTTTTACATTGTCCATTACACATATCAGTGTGTAAAAAGTACATTGAAAAAAGATGGGCAAGCTTTCAGTTCAGTTTGAACAAAGAAAAAAAATATTTAATGAAGGTATGTCGTAGAGTATAGCTTTATTTGCTATAAGTTAAATCTTGTTGTGAAAAATCTTATCCTACTTATAAGGAACCAAAGCAGTAGTGGGATTCAGCCAGTTTGCACCAGTTCGGCAGAACCGATAGCTAATTTTTTGTTGCCCAGGCTCAGAATGGACTTCCAGAAGTGGCATCCACACAGAGAACCGGTTGTTCACATATTTGAATCCCACCACTGAACCAAAGCAACTAGAAATCTGCAGTAGGTTTGTTTACTGAGCATTCAAAGAATAGAGCAATCACTGGGCCCTTGATCAAAAGATGCCAAGAGTCTTAAGTAATTTACATACAGGATTATATATGAAATGGAAGATATATAAAGTCATGAGTAATGGATTAAACTACTAGAAGATAAAGAAGCCTTTAATTTGAATGGCTGGGTTCATGGATGCTGCTCCAGGATGACTCTTTCTGCCCACTTCAAAAAATCAGCATTTGACAGCACAAACAATCAGCACAATCAGCATTTGACTGCCCATTAGCATTGCCTTCTTCACTAACTAGCACAGGGTCCCTGATTAATATGATCCATCTAGGAATTTACCTCTAGAAAAATCCTTGCCTACTGCCACACAAGTGCATGCCTTTACAATAGAGATATTAATGTAAATAGAAATTTGACCATTATTGCATTAATACTTTCTGTTTTAATTTTATTTTAATGTTTTGTAATGTATGAAAGGTTTACAATTAAGGTATGGTAGAAACCTCAGACCAAGAGGCTGAATGCTTTATTTTGATATATACACAAGCTTGTTTTATTACACAAGGGATATAGTTCTAATGCAAATTTTAAGAAGAGGCTGGATACTCACTTGTCTGAGATGGTATAGGTCCTCCTGCTTGAGCAAGGACTGGACTAGAAGATCCCTTCCAGTTCTATTCTATTCTATTCTATTCTATTCTATTCTATTCTATTCTATTCTATTCTATTCTATTCTATTCTAAACCAAAAGACCCAGCATCTATAGAAGAAAAAATAAAAGCCATTATTTAGGACAAACAGATGACTAGCAGAGCGCATCTATGAATACCAATTAGCAGTCAGAACACATGAAAACTCCTTAATTTCACAATGGACAGATTTAACCATAGTTTCAATTGGGAAACTGTGAGCATCCTAAGCAAGCCAAGTCCAGAAATGCTAGAGAATTCCTGGAAGCCAGACACTCAGACAAAGCAGCCATCAGTGGGTACACTATTCAACATCAAAAGAGATAATCCAAAAGATCCAAACATCTCACCAGTAGCAACACCCAGATGAGCAGAGGTTAACACTAGACTAACAATCAAGAAATAAAAATTACCCAGTCAAGGAACTACCAACTCAGGTAAACACAAGCTAACAGTAAACAATAGCCTAATCAATGAATCACCAAAACCACTCCCACCAATACTGACAGGATAATCCACTAGTATATATAATGAGAGCAAACCTCATTCCCTCTAACATCAATGTTGTTATCTAGAAAACAACCAAGCTCAAGAGCACCAAGAATCCCACAGTTCAGCCCTGAGCTGCAAATATTTCTCTGACTGTCTGCCTACAATTTTTCTTTTTATTAAAAAAATATTCTTTATCACTTTTTTCTTTTTCACAGGGGTATCTCTGAGTGCACTCCCAATGTATTTGAGTGAAATTTCTCCCAAGCAGATCCGTGGGTCACTAGGACAAATAACGGCAATATTCATCTGTGTTGGTGTTTTCAGTGGACAGATTTTGGGGCTACCTGAGATATTTGGAAAGGTCTGTAATAATTCTGAATTATTTATTCTTTTTTGCACTCTGTGTAAATTGAGATTGAAAGCCCATTAATTATGAACAGATAAAATGATGCCCAGATATTCTTTGCTATAATATCAAAAGAGAGATACCATCCAGTAGGTATGGTATTTGTGGCACTTATGCAATCTTGTGTAAATAACTAGAAGCTGAACAACTTCTGTTCACTTTTACTGGAGACTTGATAAGACATGAGGTTTTTTTTTAAAAAAAAACTTTTTACTGTCAATTTATAAGAGAGAATGTAAGGATACAAACTACAGTCATTGCATTTTTAACTTTACACTTATTGGTAGTATTGACATTCACAATTAAATGTACTTATTGTCAGGTTACATAATTGTCATTCTTCTGCCTATAGATTAGAGCATCTGTTCTGTCACTGAACTCTGAATTTTGCCTATGTTTTTAGTATTGCATTTTTACATGAAATGCAGCAATACCAATACTAATTTTATTAACTGATTACAGGAATTCATGTGGCCTTATCTGTTTGCAATGATTATTGTTCCATCAACTCTCCAAATTGGAGTCCTGCCTTTTCTTCCAGAAAGTCCTCGCTTCCTCTTACTTGAAAAAAATGACACAAAAGCGGCAGAAAAAGGTACTGTCACATTCATTTTTTATCTCAATTGATCCTATTGTTCACCTGGTTTAAAAGCAAAAATTGTAAGCACAAATGCAATATTTTTGAGGGTGGCAGTCTTCAGGAACACTACATGCTGATATCTGTTCTGTAGGGTGGTTCTCAAATTTTTGGATTGATAACAATATCTACAACAAAATAGCAGTACCATGCTTAAAAATTACCTTTGGTCTGCTTAAAGGAAAAGGAGAGGATCATTTTATTATGGCGTTTTTCATATTCTCTCTTGCTGGAAACAGTCCTTTATGTTGTAAAGTCTATGTCATGGTTCCAATAGATGAGACCAATTAGAACAGAACTCCAAGGCTTGAGTTTTCCTTATTTATTTATTGGATACAAAGTATTGGCATGATCAAAAGTGAAACCAAGACTAAAATCCCCTCCCAAAAGCAACAGTAATACAAAGTTACAGTTCCCACTCCCTGGCTATGCAAACAACTATGTTTCCCAATAATACACCCAGGTGGGCTTTCTAACACTAGGATCATCCTCCCCAGCTGAGGGAAACAGAAATGATCTTGGTTCCCATGGGACAGAAAACTGTTTAGTCTAATAGAAAACTTCCCATTCCCTCTCCATCTTGTGGCAACCAAAAATGAAGAAAATAGCTTCGGCCAGGTCTGTTGCAAGGTTGACAGTTGGATCCCCTAAAGAGAAAACAGATCCTGTAGAGAAATAAAAGGTGGCATTAGGAATCTTCCCAAGGCTTCTGAGGATATTTATTGTAAAAACCTTTTACTAGTTGATCTGCCTTAACGTTCATGCTTTTTATCCAACTGGCCTCTGACAAAGGATATCCCTTCCATTGCATTAGATACTGTAACTTCCCCTTGTATATTCTAGAATCAAGGATTTGCTTAATTCCAAAATGAGTTCCCCCCTCTACTAAAAGAGGACCAGAGGCTTCCCTGGGAGTTGGTGTCAATGAGGACTCCCTAAGAGGCTTTAACAAACTGCAATGGAAAACAGGGTGAATTTTCCCTAGCAAGCAAGAGAGTTTCAGCTTAAAAGTCACAGGATTTATAACTCTAATTATAGGAAAAGGGCCAAGAAACTTTGGTCCCAACTTTTTACTGGGTAGCTTGAGTCTTAAATATTTAGTTGACAAATATACTTTTTCCCCAAAGTGAAATGGTCTCTGAGGGGACTGCATCTTATTGTCTTGCTCCTTGTAAGTTTTAGCAACCTGTGTTAGAGCTTTTTTCACATTAGTCCAAATAGTTTGCCATGAGGCTTATGAGACAGGTGGTTCCTGAGGATATTCACGGCCAGTTGCTATTTAAAATGGAGTAAGACTATTGAGCACCGTATTGTTGTATACCACTTTCACAAAAGGCAGGAGGTAAGCCCCATTAGTCTCTTGATAATTAACGTAGCATCTAATGTATTGTTCCACCATTGTGTTCAAATGTCCAGCCGAACCATTTGTGCTCAAATGAGGGCTAGAATCCCTGAAATCTTTAGCCACATAATGAAATAATATTATATGGTATGGTTGTTCTGTTGTTTGTTTAATTGATTTCTGTCCAGAGGAAAAACAAAGCTTAAAACAAGTAAAAAAAATTTAAATAATTTACCTATAAACTACCTCAGACAGAAAAGATTGGAGAAAAGGAAGATTGGTTCATTTGCTGTAATGAGAATATATTGTCACTGTCTTCCATATTTTGGAATAAATATATTATTCTTACTAGATGTGTGACCAGTAGAATGCTACATAAAACTAGTCAGAAGTAAATGTTTTTAACTTCATTCCAGTAGAAGTAAATATAAGATTGCAGTTTAGATTTCATTGTGCTTCTAAATTTCTATTTACTAGGACAGTGATGGCGAACCTTTTAGAGACTGAGTGCCCAAACTGCAACCCAAAACCCATTTATGCATCGTCGAGTGCCAGGTGGTGTGGCCCATTGGCTGGATGTGGCCAATTGGGTGGGCGTGGCCCATTGGGTGGGGTGGCTGCAGTGGTAATGGCAGACTGGGTGGAACTAAAAAGTTCAATCAATCAATTCCAACTTAGATCTTTTTTTTTTCCCTCGAGAAGTTGAAATTGACTGATGGAACCTCTTTTTTTTGCATATAGCGATGGAGGCCTAAAGCAAAAAGGTTTTATAAAACCCAACTGAAGGGCCTAGGACTGGGGCAATGGCATGCATGCCCACAGAGAGGGCTCTGAGTGCCGCCTCTGGCACCCATGCCATAGGTTCGCCACCACTGTAGTAGGGACCATCTTAGCTATTATATTGCCTGATTCTGCCAACAAATGAAGATGTAAAATCATGTTATATCGTTGCATAATAATGAAAAAGATGTGAATGAGTTGTGTACAGTTAGAAATATCTTCTATCTTCAAACTGGAATGAAAGAATTAGAAATAGGATAGTTACAATATGCTGTTATTTTAAATAGTATGAACAAGAGCAGCAGATTTAGAATTTACAAAATTGTTGGACCTGAAATGAAACTTGTAAATATTTGTGGAATTATTATTGAATAGTAAGTGAAATCACTATTTGCTATGTATTTGAGTAAACCCAAACGTTACTGATGAAGCTGACATATTTTGCTGAAGGATCTGTTTTTGAAAGATAAAAAGATAAATGTTTGGTGTAAACTACAATTTGATGTGTAAAATATGTAATTTGTGTACAATTTGATGTAAAATAGTTTGATATGAATAAAACTAATTGTGTATAAATTGTATGAACTGTGGGCTTGCAGCATTTCAGAAATTCCTTGGAAAACCTGATGTGTCACATGAAATAGAAGAAGTTCTGGAAGAGAGTCGAGTGCAGAAAAATATTCAAGTAGCATCTGTATTTCAACTTTTGTGTGACAACACTAAGCGGTGGCAGATTCTCACTGTAATTTTAACTATGGCCTGCTATCAACTTTGTGGCCTTAATGCTGTAAGTCATATATATATTTAATTATTGCTTTCACAGCCCACTTTTTAGATAAGATAACCTTTATTGTCATTTTTTTTACTGTAGGCACATTGACACACATTAAAAATGAAATTTAGTTGCTTGCTCTCAAAAGTGTACACATACATAATACACATTTAAACATTCTATATACAATATATACATAAACTTTCACCCTTACATATAAATATTAATCACTGACCATCTTGAATATGTTACCAAAAGAGGAAGGGTTAGGGTTAGGGTTTGTTTTCTTTAGAATTTCAAGTGATTTAAAATAGCACCCCCTCAACATCAAAGCCTGGGAGATTAGTTGGCCAAGAGATATATGACCTGTCTCTTTCTGCTTTTACTCTAGCTGTAAACCACTGTATCACAGGACCTGAACACATAATTCCTCACTTGTTTCTGTTTGTGTTTTTCCTCTTTCCCCCTCTCCTTCTTGAAAATATATGAACTGCAGATCTACAATTAACAGAATAACAGAATTGAAAAGAATATTGGATGTCTTCCAATCCAACCCCCTGCTCAAGCAGGAAACTCTGTACCATTTCAGACAAATGTTTATACAGTCTCTTATTAAATACCTCCAGTGTTGGAGCACCGACAACTTCTAGTAGCAAGCCATATCACTGATTAATTGTACTAAACATCAGAAAAATTCTCTTTGATTGTAGGCTGGTTCTCTCCTTGATTAGTTTCCATCCATTGCTTCTTGTCTTGCTATCAGGTGCTTTGAAAGATAGGTTGACTCTCTCTTCTTTGTGGGAGGCCCTTGGATATTGGAATACTGCTATCATGTCACCCCCTAGTTGTTGAGTCCTTGGCGAAAAGCAGACACGAGAAGCAGTTGTAGTTCTCAGGTTTTCTTTTATTCTGTGTTCAGCTTACAGGTGAAGGCTTCAGCAACGCCCAAAACCTCCCAGCCTTTTATATAGGCAATCCCCGGGTCAATGTGTTCCTTTTCCCGTGCATGCGCACAGGCGCTGGCGACAGCCTGTCTGGTCCCGGGCAGCTTGCACCTGCCCAGGACTGCCTGCAAACGCCCCGAGCCCGTTTGCAAGGCTCGGGACATAACACCCCTTTCCCCCGGGTTAAGACTACTACCAACATACAATTAGTTCTTGAAACAGTGTTCTACTCCCCAGTGCTCCTACTGTTCACTGGCTTTTGTTTAGCCAGCAATGTTATGTAATCCTCTAAGTACTTAGGAGATTTCCTTACTCTCTGTGACCTTCTCAGCTCTGGGTTTCTGATAGGTGTTCCCTGACTGGAGGGAGACGTGAGCCTGTTCTCCTTATCATGCCTTGGTGCCTTCCAAGGACTGTGCCCCAATGCCTGGCCTGCTTGCTTGCCCACCGGGCTCGTCAGGCCAGGGCTTCTGTCACTTTGTGACCTGGTTGACCCGCCTAGCTGTAGGCCCTCGGGCCTCTTGAAGTGATAGCCACTGCTGGGCATCTCTGTAGAACCTCCTAGGTCCGTCCAAGACCTGTCAGGAGGCTGTCCATCCCCTAAACCCCGTTCTGTGTCTGGGCTTATGTAGGTTTCTGTGCCTTCCCCAAACTCAGTTACTCCCTGATTTGGGCTAGAGGTGTTGTAGTCGGGACTTGGTTCCTCGACCACCTCCCTGTATGTTTGACCCCCTGTAGGACTTGGGGTAAGGTCAGGCCAACTCTGGGGATTATGTGCCAGCTCTCTTGCGGGGTATGATTTATTGGGATGCTCCCGGGTATCCTCCCTGACTGGAGTACTATGCTGTGCAGGTGGATAGTGATTGTACCCCGGGGTGACTCCCTGGCTGGAGTAGGCGTGAATGCCTGATAGTTGGATAGGCTCTTAGAATTCCTATTTGGGGCACTCGCGGACTCTTGGAATGGGCCGTTTGTGGCTCCATCATTGGAGGTGGGCAGCAGCTTGTGCCCCTCCCTTTGCTCTAAAGGGTCCCCCTCCCCCCCTGGAAAAGACTCAGGAGTCTCATCTGAAAGATCCCGCCTAGGGCGGAGTTGGTCGATGTGCCGACGCAGGACACGACCGTTGTCCAGGGCTACCTCGTAGGATAGAGGACCTGTGACCCTGTAAATAGAAGCGGGGACCCATGTATGACCAGGCCCGTAATTGCGAGTCCAAACCGGGGCACCCACAAGTAATTGTCTAGGTGCCCGAGGATGTGAGGTAGATGAAGGCAGTCTGTCTGGATGCAACCGGTCAAGTTTTGTAGTAAGTTTACGCCCCCAGCGAAGTTCAGCTGGGCTTCTCCCTGTAGAAGTGGACGGTGTGGTGCGGTAAGAAAGGAGAAAGTCAGCCAACCTGTGATGCCAGTCCCCATAGTTGAGTCTTTTCAAGGCGTCCTTTGTGATGCGGACCATGCGTTCAGCCATACCGTTGGTGGACGGGTGGAAGGGTGCAGACGTGGCATGACGAATCATGTTAGCCTGTAAGAAAGCTTGGAATTCGGAGGAAGTAAATTGAGGGCCGTTGTCAGACACAATGACATCTGGAAGCCCGTGTGTAGCAAAAATCCCCCTCAGTACCTGAATAGTCTTTGCAGTGGTGGTGGATGAGACAGGTACAACCTCAAGCCATTTTGAATGACTGTCAACGAGGACCAAGAAGAACTGGCCCTGAAAGGGCCCAGCGTAGTCAATGTACACCCTAGACCATGGGGACTGCGTATCCTCCCATCTATGCACAGGAGCTTGGGGCATCTCTGGGCGAGAGCGCTGGCACAGGTGGCATGCATGCACCTTAGCCTCAATGTCCTTATCTAAACCAGGCCACCACAAGTGGCTGCGCGCAAGGGCCTTCATGCAAACAATGCCAGGATGACCCTCGTGGAGGGACTCTAAGATCCTAGTCCTCATTGAGGTGGGAATGACAACCCTGTTTCCCCAAAGCAGACAACCCTGAGAAGTGGACAACTCGTTCCTTTTGGACCAGAAACTCTGAAACTCAGGACTAGGGCAGTGCTCAGGCCATCCAGACAAAACCCAAGAAAGGACACGTGAAAGTGGGTGATCTGTGCCTGTTTCAGCGGCGACATCCCTGGCATTCAGAGGGGACTCGGGCAAGGCTTGGATGGATAGAATGTTGACAGCTGGCGCAGGGTCAGCTTCTACTACTGGCAGGGGCAGTCTACTGAGGCCATCAGCATGGCCCATTTCTTTCCCAGGCTTGTGTAGTAAGGAAAAATCATATACAGATAGAAAAATAGACCACCGAAGCATTCTAGGGGAAATGATTTGGGGAGTTTGTTTACGTGTGGTAAACAGTCCCAGCAGAGGCTTATGGTCAGTGAAGACCGTGAAATGCCTGCCATACAAGAAATCATGGAATTTTTTAATTCCAGCAACAACAGCCAGAGCCTCCCTGTCTATCTGAGCGTAGTTGCGCTCAGCAGAAGACAGTGTTCTGGAGTAATATGCACCAGGAACCTGAGTTCCATCAGACCTGAGGTGGCTCAGGACGGCTCCTACCCCATAAGGGGAAGCATCACAAGCGATGCACACAGGAAGGGACTCATTGAAGTGTGCAAGTACACTGTTAGAAGTGAGTAAGGCCTTGACCTTATTGAAACTAGCCTCATGAGTTTGTGACCATTGCCACACTGCTTGTTTGTCTAATAGCCTGTGAAGAGGCTCAGCTACACTAGCTTTATGTGGAAGAAAGGAATTGTAGAAATTCATGAGGCCCAGAAAGGCCTGAAGTTCGGCCTTAGACTTTGGCCTAGGTGCTTCTAAAATGGCAGTTAGTTTGGATTCAGCAGGGTGAATCCCAGCAGCATCAATTTTGAATCCCAGAAATTCAGTAGAAAGCACCCCAATTTGCATTTGTATTTTTTGAGCTTGAGGCCTGTTTTCCTGAATCTTAACAGAACAGCCCTTAGCCTTTCAGCTAGAATGTGTGTGGAGTCTCCTGCAATTAAGACATCATCAAAGTAGGGGCAAACCCCCGGTATGCCCCGTAGTGTGTTTTCCATTACCCTTTGGAAAATCCCAGGAGCGACATTCACTCCAAACTGTAGCCTTTTTACCTTAAAGGCTCCCCTGTGGGTCACAATAGTCTGAGCTATAGCAGCATCATCATCAACCGGCAGCTGTTGATACGCTTGAGCTAGGTCAAGCTTTGCAAAAACGCGCCCCCCCTTGAGGGAGGCCAGAATATGACTGACCACAGGAACAGGATAGGCAGGTTGCTGCAATGCCTTATTAAGAGTGCATTTGTAGTCAGCACAAATGCGAATGTCCCCATTTGCCTTTAGAGGCGTAACAATGGGGGTCTCCCAAGGGCTGGAATCAACAGGTTCTAGGATTCCCTGTTGGATCAGTTTGTCTAACTCAGTGTCAATTTTACTCTTTAAAGCAAAAGGGACCCTGCTTGCTTTAATTCTAATGGGAGTGACAGTGGGGTCTAGTTTTAAGGACACAGGGGGTCCCTTGAATGTGCCCAGCTGGGGGCTGAAGACATCTGCAAATTCTTTGCAGACTTCCTGTAGGTCGCGTGTTTGTAAGCTGTTGAGCCCCGTGATGTGTATCCCCCAAGGCTTCAAACCAATCGAGTCCTATGAGACTCGTTCGTTCACCCCCTACTACTAATAGGTCTAGTGGACCTTCAAAATTCTTATACTGTACGTTAAGGGTGGCCTCCCCCTTAACACACACTCTCGAATTTTGAAAGTCTGTTAACACAATGTCAGAAGGCCTTAATTTATCCTGAGTTCCACTGCCGGAACAAATCTTCCTAAATGTATGTAAGGATATGATTGAAAGGGCAGACCCCGTGTCTAGTTCCATAGTTAATGGAACCCCTTGTAGCTTCATCTTGAGTGACAGCTTTTTCTTGATGGGCTTGTGTGTGCCTGTCCTGAAGATGCTTCTTTGCAAAGCACAAAAACCTACCCTATTCTGGCTGGGGACCCTGGTACCTTTCAGGCGCAGTTCTTCCTGAGGTTGTACCTTTCATCGGCCCAGACACACAGCTGCAATATGTCCTTGTTTCCCGCACGCCCGGCGGATAGCGGAGCGGAACTTGCAGTCGGTTCTCCTGTGGCGACCTCCACAGCCGATGCACTTGAGGGGGGCTGCAGAGCTTCCTTTCTGATTCCCTTCCTTCGTGGGGTGGAGACGGTCGACTTCCTCGTCCGGATCCTCCTCGGAGTTCCCTTGGACGTCCTCTTGGTGCACGGATGCAACATCTGGACTGTTCCTGATCGGCCGCATGTTTTTGACGGCGCCGCCTGCTGCTTCTTCTGCAGTGACCTCTCTTAAGGCATCTTGGAAGGACAAGTCTTCTTTGGCGAAAAGCCTCTGTTGTAGATCTCGATGCCTTAAGCCGCACACAATCGGTCCCTCAGTCGTTCTTCGAGGTCCTTGAACTCGCAGTGCTTGGCGGCCTTCCTCAATGCGGCGATGTATTCTTTGGCCGACTCTCCGGATCGTTGATCCCTCTGCTCGAAGGTGTGGCGCCATGCGATGACGGACATCTTGGGCTGGAAGTGCTCCTTCAATAGCTTCTTTAGATCTGCGTAGCTGACAGACTCTAATGGGACAGGCGCTGCAAGGTTCTCTGTGATTTCGAAGGCGTCTTGACCGCAGACACAAAGCAGGGTGGCAGCCTTCAAGCTATCTTCCCTCACTTGGTTTACCTTGAGGTAATTTTCCACCCTGGCTACGTAGGACTCCCACCGCTCTGGATGTGAGACGTCGAATTCCGAAAGCCTTCCGACTTTTGCCATTTTCAGGAGACGGGTCTATCAGCCAGCCTACCCCCGAATGCGCACTGGATTGGCGGGTAGCTGCCGAGTCAACGCCGTTCCGCCGCTCAGGACTCACTTGGGTAAGCTTACACCTCTTCCTTTCCAGGCGATGTAAGGCATCCCACCTTCGTCGCCAGTGTTGAGTCCTTGGCGAAAAGCAGACACGAGAAGCAGTTGTAGTTCTCAGGTTTTCTTTTATTCTGTGTTCAGCTTACAGGTGAAGGCTTCAGCAACGCCCAAAACCTCCCAGCCTCTTATATAGGCAATTCCCGGGTCAATGTGTTACTTTTCCCGTGCCAGCACCCGCGCATGCGCACAGGCGCTGGCGACAGCCTGTCTGGTCCCGGGCAGCTTGCACCTGCCCGGGACTGCCTGCAAACGCCCCGAGCCCGTTTGCAAGGCTCGGGACATAACACTAGTCCTTTTCATTAAACTAGACCTATCAAATTCCTTCAAATGTTCATTATATGTTTTATCCTTAAATCCCCTAATCATCTTTGTTGCTCTTCTGTGCACTTTTTCCTAGACTCTCAACTTCTTTTTTATATTGTGGCAATCAAAACTGGATGCAATATACTAAGGCATTATTGAGTGATATTAACATTTCATGTGATCTTGATTCTTTCCCTCTTAAGGGAGCCTAGGATTGTGTTGGCTTTTTTGGTAGCTGAAGCACACTGCTGGCTGATATTTAAGTGATTGTCCACTAGAATTCCCAAAATCCTTCTCACAGTTATTGAGCCATGTACCTACCACCTGTTCTATACTTCTGCACTTGTAAAATCTTCCTTTTCTCTACAGTGAATTTCATTTTGTTAGGGTCTAATGCTCATGTCAATCAAGATCCTTCTGTATCTTGAAGCTATCTTCTGTAATATTGGCTAGTCATCTGCAAATTTGATGTGTTCTTCTTCTATCGCCTCGTTTAAATCATTGATGAAGATAATGAAGAGTACTAGGCATAAGACAGAGCATGCTTCCCCCCATGTAGATGCAGTTCCATTAAGGACTACATGTTGAGTGTGGTTGGTCAGCTAGTTACAAATCTATCTGGTGGTATACTGTCTAACCCACATTTTTCTATCTTATCAAGTAGTAGTTTGTGGTCTACTTTATCAAATGCCTTACTGGAGTCCAACAAAATTATATCCACAGCATTTTGCTAGTCCACTATTTTTTTCACTTTGTCAAATAATGCAATAAGAGTTGTCTGGCATAATGAGTTTTTACAAACCCATGTTGGTTTCTGGTTATGATTTTTTTGCCTCTAGGTATTTGCAGTTTCATTGCTTGATTATCTTTTCCAAAATCTTTCCAGGTATTAATGCCAGAGCTGATAGGTCTGTTTTTTCTTGGCTCTATTTGTTTTCCTTTTTTGAAGATTGGAACTACCCTTTTCCAGTCATCTGGGTAGTTCCCTGATACTCCAGGATCTTTGAAAGATATGCTTCAGTAGTTCTGAGATCCCCTCTGCCAATTTCTTCAGAATCTTGGGGTGTAATCCACCTGGTCTTGGTGATTTGAACTTGTCTAGAGTGGATACCATTTTCTTATTTATGTATTTTGGCTTGCATTGCTGATTTTATCCCTCCAATTGCTTGTGAGGGAGAATGAGAATGGGTGGAGGGGGATGGCAGAGCCCTGACTCTGAGAAGACGGAAGCCGGGGAGGGAGAGGGATGATATTCTTGGGGAGTGTTGGGCAGGACAATGCATCAGAGTAGGGGTGCTATAGGAGTCTGGGGGCAGTCCAGTCCTCTGATATATAGTATCGGTGGTGTGTTCTGCCCCCCTAAGCTCATCCCCAGTTCCTTGAAAGCCTACCCTCATAGGTCCTGAGATTTGGCTGCTGTGGTGAATGCCAGATTGGTCAATAAAAGGCTCCCCTTTCTAAGATATTATTGAGGAGGAATGAGCTGACTTGGCATGTATTAGGCATGTATTACCAAGACTTGGGTAATTCTGGAAGTGGGGTTCCCTTTCCTGAGATGCTAGAGGCCATCTAGGGCTATTGAGTTTCCCAGACTTATAGTTCTGGGTGTCTTCAATCTGCCATCCTTGCTTATGTCCTCGGAAGTGGCCCAGAAGTTCATGGCAGCCATAGGCCTATCCCAGATCATCTCAGGCCTGACTCAGGACAGTGGTCACATACCAGATATGGGGCTATGACAACATGATCTAGGATGAATTTAATATTATCCCACTTGTCATGGTCAGATGTCCTGATGTCCCTGAGATTTCTGTTGCTGCCTCCCTCTGCAGGGAGGCTACACCTATTTGTATGGTCCATCCTTAATGACTAATGGACCCAATTGGGTTTCAGAAGAACTGAGAGATATTCCAGGGGCTCCGCTATAGGGCCTGTTGAAGCCAGAAACCAACTGGCTGCCAGGGCTCTGGACAGGATTTCTTCTATGCGACCTCTTTTCACTCATCATTCCTGTGGTTCATGGAAGATATCAAGAGCCATTCACTTTTCACCTAGTTTCTTCTCTGCTCTCAAGTTGACAACAATAGGGAGGGGGGTAGTTGAATCATCTGGGGTAGGAATGGAATGCCAAGAATCCATCTGCAGATCATGAGGCCCTGCTTCCCCCTTCAAGGATACGCTGCACAGGTGTTTGAACGATCCAAACAGTTACCATAACAAATGAAGTGTAGGTGATTGGACAATGCAATGGATTAAGGGGAATGGCCAAAGGGGGAATTCATGTTTAATTATATGGACCTTTGAGTGGGAAATTCAGAGATGGTTTTGCTTCCTTTGTGTCAATGTAGTGTATTTAATAAAAGTATTACTAGTGGGAAGAATAATGTCCCAGGAGTTCCTTTCTTGGATTCACTAGCTGGACATCTGACAGAGGAGTTGTGAGTTTTGAAAAGGGTTAAGAGATGCCTAGAACATTGCTGGAAGATAATGAAGGATGACGCCGACTGACAGAACTTAGAGTCGCTATCAAGGCCTATCTTGTGGCAGTAAGAGTGACAAAACAGCATTATTTCTCCATCTTATTGTGTCCACATAGTGTCACTCAGTGGCCCTATTCCAGGTCACACAATCCCTCCTGGGATGGGGGGACTATGCAATCTTCTTCACGGCCATGTGGAGAAATTTGTTCAATACTTGATGGACAAAGTTGTTTGGATTCATTCTCAGTTTGAGATCCATGTGTGAGGCAGGTCCTTATGAGATGCTTGGGGAGGGATCTTGCCCAATGATCTGGGAACAGTTTTATCCTGTTGATCATGAAGTGGCCAGGACCCTTGATGCTGACAGTTAGATCCTTGTCCCTCTGGATCGTGAAAGCCTCCATTACTCTATTACTCCATGACTAGCAGGTGGGTTCAAACAGTGATTAATATATCACGTGAGGAGGGGACATTTCCAGGATCTTTTAAGGAGGCCCTGGTTTGCCCCCTCCTAAAAAAGCATTGCTTGATCCCACCTGCTGGGACAACTTCTGTTCAGCTTCCAGTCTTCCCTTTTTAGAGAAGATTGTGGAAAAGATAGTGGTCTGGCAGCTTCACATGGTCCTGGATGAACTGGATTATCTGTATCCCCTTCTGTTAGGATTCAGGCCCAGTTATAGGATAGAAACAGCATTTATTTCATTTGTTGATGTCCTCCAGCGAGAACAGGATAGGAGTAGTGCAACCATCTCTTAAAGCTAATCTCAACTCATTACCTGTATAAAAGACACCTGGGAGCCAGAAATCTCGCTGATTGATAGGGGATCAAATACTTATTTCACTCATTAAAATGCAAATCAATTTATAACTTTTTTGAAATGCATTTTTCTGGATTTTTTGTTATTATTCTGTCTCTCACTGTTAAAATAAACCTACCATTAAAATTATAGCCTGATCATTTCTTTGTCAGTGGACAAACATATAAAATTAGCAGGGGATCAAATAATTTTTCCCTTACTGTAAATATTTCACATTGTCTTCAATATGATACAAATGTTTTTAACATTGTGATGTCCATAGGCTGGGCATCTGAAGGTTATGGAGAACTGTTTTGACAAATTCCAGACCATCATTAAATGTATGTATATATGTAAAACTTAGAATCTGATTAGAGCCAAATGACTTTTTTTTGAAACCCAATAACTGGAAGGTGGCTTCTATTCCAGATTTGGTTCTACACAAATGACATTTTCAGGGGAGCTGGCCTAAGTCCTGAAATGATTCCATATGTTACCTTAAGTACAGGAGCTGTGGAGATCTTGGCTGCTCTTTTCTCTGTAAGTGTGTGGTGGGTTGAATAATGTATAGAAATGTATAAAGAATATATAATTTAGAATGAAATCTTTCAGTTTCCATCTTAGTTTTAAACTGACAATATGGAAATAAAAGGACTGAATCTTATAAAAATCTTTACTAGAAACCAAGAGCCTCTGAGTTCTGATCCTGTCTTAGGCATGAAAGCCACTTGGGTGACTTTGTACCAGTCACTCTCTCTCAGCGCAACTCACCACACAGGATTGTCAGTGTGGGGGAAAATAGGAGGAGGAAAGAGTATTATGTATGTTCACTACCTTGAGTTATTTGTAAAGTAAAAATCTAATAAAAAAATAGAATTCATTTATTTTATGAGTAAATTTTATAGTAACTGTTGTAGAGATTTGTTTATATGTCTTAATTTAAGGGGAGTTAAAGGTTAAGTATGATTTTTTTTTCTTTTTTTTCTTTTTTCTTTCTTCTTTTCCTTTTTTTATTATTGTTAACTTTCTTATTAATAACCCTGTACTCTGCTCTGGGAAACGAGGGGGGGAGGGTTGAGGGTGGGTGGGTGGGTGAGTGGGTGGGTAATGATAATATAGTCATAGTAAATGCTTGGGCATTTCCCCTATGCTGCGTTCATGTGTGTGAGAGGGATGAGAGGGGAGGAAGGAGCAGGGAGGAAGTAGGATGGTTAGAGGAGAAGGGGAGGGGAAGAGAGTAGGAGGGGAGGAGAGAAAGAGGAGGGAAGTAGGGAAGGATTAGAGAGGGTGGATGCAGCCTGGGGGGAATGGGCAGGCGGTACCAATGGTTAGGAATTTATTTTAATTGAATTGTATTTTGTATGAATAAATGAAAAATAAAAAACTTTTTATTTAAAAAAAAAAGAATTAAACACATTAGAGTGAATAACAGACATACCATGTTTCTCTGAAAATAAGACCTGGTCTTTTGGTTTTTTGCCTCCAAAAGAGGCACCAGATCTTATTTTCGGGGGGGGGGATCTTTTCCTCTCACCTCTGGCACCAACAGCCCTGCCTAGCCAGCCCACATCTTCTGCACCTGAAGGAGCAGCTTCATTCTGCAGCTGAGAATGGAGCTCTGGCTTGCATTTTGCAGTCAAATGCCTTTCCAGAAGGCCACTGCAGCAGAGAGCTGAGCTATGGATTGAATCCATAGCTCAGTTCTCAGCTGCAGTGGCCTTCTGGAAAGGCCTCTGACTGCGAAATGCAGTCCTGGGGATGCCACAGAAGAAGTGGGCTGGCAAGGAGAGGCCTGGCTGCAAGGTAAGTGAGTGCGGGGTGCATGGGCAGTTCCACACCCCCACCCTAGCTTGATTGTTAGGTGTGTGCCTCAACCCCAAACTAGGGTTTATTTTGGGGGTAGGGCTTATATTAGGCCCACCCCCAAAAATCAAGCTAGGGCTTATTTTGGGGGAAACACAGTAGTTCACCATCTCAAAGGTTTTACTTTTTTGAAAATCTGAGGGGAAAACAGTTAATCAGGTAAGCAACTGAGATTGTGGCTAATGTTTTCTTACAAACGTAGGTGTTCTTTCTTTTGAATAGATCAATATTTATTTAATTTTATGGAGTTGTGAGTAGCATGAAGAAATATACTCCATAAAACAGTAATGAAAAAAATAAAATAGATGGAAGTTACTAATGACAACTAATTTATGTTTAAAATATAGAGAGCTAATGTTAAGCGTGTAAGAACTCCTGGCTTTAATTGAAATGAACTCCATTTTAATCTCGTCTCTTGTTGAAATAATTGGAATGACTCTTCTAAGAATATTGGGGCTTCCAAGAAAACATGCTTGGGATTACATTTTAACTTTGGGTTAAATAAAACTGTTACCTATCGCAAGGGGCCCCAACCCCTGGTTTACAGACCAGTGGCCCATTGGGAACTGGGTTGTGCCAGCAGCAGGTGAGGAGGCGAAGCTCCATTTGCCCAAGTGGCGGGCACGCATGCAAAACCATCCCCTCCCCCCCACTGCCACTGCCGATCCACAGAGCCAGAAAGGTTGGGGAACGTTGACCTATACCATTTGAAGGTTTCTTATTCACATCTACCATTCAAGGATATTTTCCTTAAAGACAAACTTTTTTGTTTCTGAGGAAAAACTGAAAAAGCCACGTTTTGCAAACAACTGGCTGAACTCTTTGTTTTAAAGCTATTGGGAGAAAGAAATATGCATGAAACTGCCATTTGTAGAATGTCAAGAATGACATTTACTTCTTTGCATGTAGAGAGGTTGCCAGTGACAACTCAACTCATTCTGATTGGTGAACACCATTAATATCATTGAAATCTACTTAAGTGCCTACCTTACAAAATATATTTATGTGTTGCTACTAATACATTGGTATTAATGTGTGTGTGTGTGTATACACACACACACACACACAGAGAGAGTATATATATATCTCCTGATAGCTAACAGAGTGGGAGAGAGCCTATGGCTTAGAGGTTATAACAACTGCCTAACATGCAGATAAGCCCAGGTTCGAATCTCAGAAGAGTAAGTCTGGCTGAAGAGAGTTAACAGAACTCGAAATAGCTATACCAGTTCTCTCTTTATTCTTTGTTAGCAACCTAATATATATATATATATATATATATATAATGAAAATATAAAATGAGCACCAGGGTAGTAAAAACTATAAAAGTTTTTAATAAATTAAAACTATAAAAGTTTTAAAAAACGCCAAGCTTTCGTCCTGACACAAAACTGACTTTATGGGCGTCCTGAATTCGGTATACCCGGACATCCAATTCACCATGGAGGAGGAAGATCAGGGCAATTTGGCATTTTTGGATGTATTTGTGCAGCGCCAGGTGGATGGATGTCTAGCTACCAGGGTATACCGAAAACCAACATGTACTGACAGGATTCTCCACTTTGGGAGCAATCACCCGATGGCCCATAAAGCCAGTTGTGTCAGGACGCTATTCAAACGAGTGGAGACACATTGCAGCACCGTCAGAGCTAAAAAGGAAGAGAGAAACCGCCTCTTCCAAATATGTAGACGTAACGGCTACCCGGTTAAACTTATTAATCAGTTCAGGAAACCACCTGGACTCCGGGGTAACCCCGTATCCCAAGAATCCATGCCTCAAGCCACCACACGCATTGCCCTCCCCTATATCCACAATGTATCAGAAGCCACAGCTAGGATCCTGGCACCATATAAAATACAGGTGGCCCATAGACCCAACCAAACACTGCGGGCGGCAATAATGCGCCCTAAGGACCCGCTCCCCCGCATCGAAAGATCGGCAGCCGTCTATAGGATTGACTGTATGGACTGCCAATGCAATTATATTGGGGAGACTGCTAAACGCATTAAGACCAGGGTCCATGAGCACGAACTGGCAGTGAGAAGGAGAGGTTGTCACTCCCAAATATGGGCCCACACGGTGGATCTGGGCCACAGGTTTAATTTTAGTGGCGTCAGTGTATTGGCAAATGACAGTACCAAAGGGGGCCGCCTTCTTAGAGAGGCATGGCTCTCGGACAGCAAATCCATTAATAGGCATATTGACCTATGTCCGTCCTATTTGGCCTTAAGATCATGGAGTGCCAATAACCAGCGGCAACACCCCCGATGGCCCAATAACAACTTGGGCAGCACCCGAACCATCCAACAAACCATGTGCAATTTGGAGGAAGGAAAGCAATTGCGAGATACTTCGACCACCCCCGTGAGACTACTGCAATCCCAGAGGATTAGGGGGGTGATAAGAACCAGGATCCGGCCCCCTGGCAGCAAAGAGGAGACGAGAGAAGATACGGCAGGTGGAAGTGCGGATGAATCGCCAAACGCAACGGCCCACCCACACATCAAAAGAAACATCACGGCTGATCCGGAAAGGAGGAGAAGAACCCCTCATGCAGCCGGAGCGATTAGCTCTAACAAGGATAAACCACGGGGGGTGGTTGACGAAGAACCCTCGCACACCGTTATAGAGGAGGAGGGAAGATCGGAGAGCGGTAGGGTACGGAAGATCGAGCCGTCACACCCCCTACCTGATGGTGCTGAGGACTCCCATGGAATACAAGCGAATGCTCTTAATAATGTAAAAAAGGGGAGAACTGAGGAAGAGCGCTGCAACCAAGAGGGACGCGGCTTGATTGCTGCGCACACACCCCCTGGACCGGGCACCCGGAGTAGGACACGTGCAGGACAGCTGGGCATGACAACTAATAAGAGACGATCCCTCCACCTTGCGGAACACCCCCCCACGCTGCACCGGACCCGTAGCAACTTACGAGATCATCAGGATGACGGACACATTAAAAATGAAAGTATTGAGACCGGAAATGAATACGATCCTAAAAGTAACAACTGGACAAGATATGGTGGAGAAAGGAATGTGGAATGTGCACTACCACCTGAGCCTAAGGGGAGGTTAGAATATAAAGGCAACCGAAATAACTGCAATTGCCATCTAGCTAATCCGGAGTTGGGAGAATTGGAGACGGATGAGGATAAAAATGCAACCAAAAAGAGAAAAGAAGCACAGGTTAATTGCACACGGCTGAACCAATTAGGCCCGATAACAAGATCGAGGAGCCGGGCGCAGACCTCGACACGCCTATAAAAGACCTTCTCATTCTCTGGCGCGCCAGCCCTGAGGATGCCGGCAGGTGACGGCGAAAGCTTGGCGTTTTTTAAAACTTTTATAGTTTTAATTTATTAAAAACTTTTATAGTTTTTACTACCCTGGTGCTCATTTTATATTTTCATTATGAATATTCCCAGGGTTCATATTTTTAACCTTGAAGAACATAAGAACTCAATCAAAAAAGAGGAACCAACATCTTCCCTGGTCCAACACCTTAAAGCTACAGGACATGAAATTGACTTTAAAAATACCAGAACCATTGCCAAAAGTGAACATTTTAATAACAGAATAATCAGAGAAGCCATCGAGATAGAAAAACGCCCACACAGCATGAACAAGCGAGATGATACCTCCCGCCTACCAGCCATTTGGAAACCCGCCCTCATTGACAAACGACTCCCTAACACAAAAAATGATACCAGACCCACACTCACAAAAACCACACAGGAGGTCACCACCAAACATCCACGCAAAAAACAAACCCAAAGCCACACTGACTATGAGGCACGACCACAAACCAGAAGCCAGACCACAGCTGCATCATTAGCCACTTTAAACCCCCCAATCCATACATGAAGCAAACTGACACCCTCCATGAAGAGGAAGCACGACCACGAACGCGAAGCCAAGGAATGGCAGGGCAGCCCAAAATCTTGAATCCCTCTGCAACTCAGACTAACCTGAGCACAACCAAACAGAACACTCCCCCAGCCAATCAGAGCACAGCCAACCCCCCAGCCAATCAGAGCACAGCCAACCCCCCAGCCAATCAGAGCACAGCCAACCCCCCAGCCAATCAGAGCACAGCCACGCCCCTAACCAATCAGAACACACCTCCACCCAATCAGAACACAGCCAAGCTCCCACCCAATCAGTTCATACCCCCACTGGCAGTTAAAAGGAAGAAACAGCTAAGACCACACATTGCTGCTCGAGGCACGAAGCTGAAAGCACCAGCCTGAAGATGACGAATGGGACTTCGTCGAAACGTCGCCAAGACACTTCCAATTTTACGTGGGAGAAAACCCGAACAACCAAAGACCTACATATACAAATATATATATATATATATATATATATATATATATATATATATATATATATATATATATATATATAGTGATTGGGTGGGACTACTGGGGAACCCCTTAAAACCTTGAATGGGAGAGCTTGAGCCCCAAGTCCTGTCTAATGTAAGGACCCACCCCACTTTGCATCTTAAGAAGACAGAACTCTTGGAATAATTCTTCCAACAGGAATCCTTTATTAAGAGAAAATGGTTGCAGGCATTCTAGACAGGACTTGGGGTTCAAGCTCTCCCATTCGAGGTTTTAAGGGGTTCCCCAGTAGTCCCACCCAATCACCCCCCTCTTCCAGTGACAGTTTCAGGCATCACAATCCCACCCCTTTTTTCCTTCCGTCTGGATGGAGACTTCAGATAAACTACATGAAAGGTAAATAGCCTCCTTTGTTATGATAAGACCTTTTGGTGCTAACCCCATTCAAACTCTTTGAAGTTGCAATACACACATTCAGTTCCTTAGAAGTATACTGAAGGAAGTGAGGGCCATAAAGCCCCTTTGTTCTCCCCCTTCTCTCCCTCTTATGGCAGAATCCAGAGAAGGCAGAATTGGGGTTTTTTATATTTGATAACTAAAGATGAAATATAATTGGATTCTGACATATATATATATATATATATATATATATATATATATATATATATATATATATATATATATATTGTGTGTATTGTAATAATGTAGCTCAGTGGTTCTCAACCTTTTTAATGCCGCGACCCCCAACCGGTCGTAAGTCGAGGACTACCCAACCGGTCGTAAGTCGAGGACTTTCTCTGCCCGGGAGCACCGTGCATGCGTGGTGCTGCCCCCTGCACCAGCCGAGGCGTAGCTGGCAAGGGGCAGCGATGGCGCAGGGTGACCACCGGCTGGGCCACCAGCTGGCCCAGCCCAAGGGAGGTAAGGCACCTGCTGGGCCCCATGCACACCAGCAACCCTCCCTGCACCTGCCGGCCTCCCACCTTCCACCCCTGGCCCTCTTTTATTTACATTTTTAGTAGTTGCTCAGCAGGGAGGGGGTGGAAACTTCCAGACAGGTCACCCTCGCTGCAGACAACTTGCAGCATCGTTTGCAGAATGGGACTTTTGGTGGGCTCAGCAGGACAGAGACAGCCTGGACAATTCCTATTGGCTTTTGAAAGCTAATAGAATTAGACTCTATTCAAGAGAGTCTATTCTATTGGCTTTCAAAAGCCAATAGAATAAAAGGGAGTAGCACAGCTAAGGAAAAGGGGGGGAAAATGGCGGACTGCGTTGTTTGGCGACCCCCGTGAAATGGTTGTTCGACCCCAAATGGGGTCGCGACCCACAGGTTGAGAACCGCTGATGTAGCTGAAGATGAAATGTGAGGTCTTGAGTATAGGAGCAAAAAGAAATTTTAAAAGATCATCTATTTTTAGGGTGTAGAAATACAGTAGTTGATATTGGTTCAGGTCTGCTGTTGGTTGCAAACTTGTTGGTTTTAACCACTGCAAGCATGCAAAAGTAGCCAAGATTTAATTAGAATTTTGGTATGATTTAGTACATTTGAATCTGAGCTTTGCTGGGTTGAATTCAAATAATCAGATCAATTTTATTCACAAATTTGATTCGTTATGATGAAGCATGAAAATGTAAAAGCCCATTAATTTACTGAATAATTTATCCAGTTAGATTTGATGCATAACATTGATTAAGTTGTTCAGACTTAATTCAAAGAAATGTGATCAAATTAATTCTAAATCAAAGCTTTGCACAATCTTACTAGCCATTAATCTCTTTGGTGTCCCACCCACTCTGCAGTAGGCAGTTAGTGATTAACAAAGATTAACAATAGAGGTTGGAATATGAAAGTTATACAAAGCCTTTTGAACTCTTATACATTGAATTGGAAATTATTAGAAGCTCAAAGGAAATTCTAATTTTGAACCAAGTGCATAAAGAACGTACCTGCTTTAGAGTCAAATTTTGCTAAAGGAGGTTTAAAAGTACAGAAAAGGACATTGAAGTAAGAACATAAAGTATCCTATAAAATTAGAAGACCAAGTTTTTAAACAGTCTGTTTATGCAATGAATTAAGAGCAGTTAAATTTTCAATTTATGCATGGAAATTAATCTTGATTTATCTTGCAAAAAGCTTAGCACTGTGATTTGAATGAGTTGCCTAAGGATGATTCTGTTCTACTAGGGTCTTAGGGTGAATCCATCCACCAGTTCTGTAAGATAATTAACCATCTATTTTTTTTTCAGGGTTTAGTGATTGAAAGAGTTGGACGCAGACCTCTTTTGATTGGGGGATTTGGTCTGATGTTTTTCTTCTTCGTCATACTTACTGTGTGTATGAGTCTACAGGTCTGTAAATGTTAATTGATCTATTTTCTTTTAAATATGTTAAACCATCAAATTTAAACATTCTTTTTAATCATTCTTATATGCAAAAAATATTAGATTTTTTCTGTGCAACTTTGAATTAGAATAATGAACAAATACTAATTTCCTTTTTTCAACTGTATTTAAGAAGCAAGTTCAAATTTTACATTGAAAATGTTACTGTAGTTTACAGGATTTGTAACAAACTGAGCATAATAATGAGGTGCTCCCCCTGATATCTATCTGCATTATATATTTTCAATAATTCTTTCCCAGTTTTATTTATAGCAAACTGAAAAACATGGAAATGTTTCAGAAACAGTGTGACAAACCATGGTTTTAAACTATGTCTTTACCAATCCTAATTTTCAGTTTTAAATAAAATCTCCTTTTACAAAGATTAAAGCATACTTCTCAGGATCACAGCAATGGAGGTAGTGAAAATTGCTTTGAGGCACAAAAGTTTGCTCTACTTTTCCAAAGATCTGGGACTGTTCTGCATAGCTGTCTGTCCAAGAGCTCTTTGGTCTGGTCGTATAGATCTTGATGAACATGTGAGGTGCTGTGTTAGTGAGTTGCCTTCTCGCTTGTGAATATTGATTTTTTATATATATTCTTATGAAATTTGAGTATCCGAGCACTTCCCTCAATCTTGAATAACAAGGGGAAATGTAGAATTAAAACTTTGGGTTCAGCCAAATCCATTTCTGATGAAAATGCTAAGCAACCTAACAGTCTTAGTTCTGGGTAATCAGAGACTATGATTAGGTATGGCCTAGGCTGGTTTTGACAGCCTGGCAGGAAGTGACAGAGCTTGGCTGGCACTGAACTAGAAAGCTGTCCCACCAGAGCAAGGACCTGCCCTCTCTCTTTTCGGATGTCTTCCACTGTAGATGTCTGAGATGTCTCAGCCTGTAGAAAGTGTTTTGTTATTGTTCCCTTAATCTGAATAATAAAACTGGGATTTATTTGCTACCCATGATATATTAATGACTAGAGTTTATTATTCTAAGCAGGTATTAGATGGCATACAGACTTCCAAAGATAGGGTATCAGCAAAGTGGACTTTGTATCACTCTGCAAATATTGTTGTTGTTCTCTACAAGAAGTCTGGGGATTTCTTCATATTTGATTTGTGATTTTTTTTAATTGCCCAATAGCTATTCTGGATGGTTTAAAATAAAACATAATAAAAAGATACAATTTATTGGCGATGTGGTAGCTTGGATGCTACTTACTTCCATATCTGGTGGACTTGTAGAAACATAAAAGCTTTTTGGATTAAGATTTGGTGGAACATTCAAAAGATTTTCAGGAGAAAGATACAGTTTACCCCACAATTATTCTTATTGGGTGTTATTGTAGATTGTGATACTAAAGAAACTAATTTGATGTTGAATTTGATAACAGCTGCAAGGTTATTGGTAGGGCAATACTGGAAGAAGGATTGTTTGCCTACTATAGAAAAATGGACGTTTAAAGTGTCAAATTTAGCAGAAATGGCTAAAATTTCTGCTTATCTGAAGGATCATTCACAAGAAAGATACATTTCAGTCTGGAGAAGATGGATAGATTATATTCAGAATAAATATGGGACTAAAAAGTTCCATTTAGTTTATGAGTAAATTTTAGAGTATTATTATGAGTTTATTATAGTAGAATTTTTATTAGTTTTATTATTATTTTTAGTATTAGTATTGTTTAATAATTTGGATATTGTATTGTTTAATAATTAGGATATTAACTTGTTTATATTATTATGTTTATTGGAGTTAAAGTGCATTATGGACTTGGTTATTTATATAGTTGGTTAATGTTAGTTAGAGTATGATTATTATATTTGTAACCCTGAACTCAGCTCTGGGAAGTGGGGGAGGGAGAGAGGGGTTTAGGGTGGGTGGGTTTTGGGATGTATATTGTAACTTTTATAAAACTTTTCAATAAAAAAAGATACAATTTGAATAAAACACATACAATAAAACACAAAATAAAGACACTATATAAATTACTGTAATTTTATATAAAAATAATTCATTTTTAATGTTACCATATATTTTTCAGGATCAAGCAGTCTGGCTTCGATATCTCAGTATAATCTGCATTCTTACAATCATTGCCTCATTTTGCATCGGACCAGGTAATGACCCTCTTTTCAAACATGCTCTGACAGAAAGAGTTGTGTTGGTTTTTCTAATATAATTAAATGGCTCATACTATCGCCTGTAGAGTTGGATTAGTGTGGGATAAGGGGTAAAAGAGGAAAAACAAAATATCTGTAATAGTATAAAGTATTATGTCCTTCAGGTGATAGTAGATATATTAGGGCAGTTGAGAAAGAAATACTTATTAGATTACATACATCTAAGAATGTCACTGTTATATGCTTTTGAAAATGTCAGCTTGTAGTGATCACATAGATCTTCTCTAGGATGATTGGTCACACACTTGGCCCTTGTAATCACATATTATATGATTATAAATCTAAATATATAAATTAAAATCTATTACATTATTTACAGAATACAGAATAACAGAGTTGGAAGGGACCTTGGAGTCCAACCCTCTGCCCAAGCATGAGATCCTATAGTACCATTCCAGACAAATGCTGTCCAGTCTCTTCTTAAAAACCTCTAGTGTTGAAGGACCCACAACTTCTGAAGGCAATCGGTTTCACTGATTGATCGTTCTCACTGTCAAGAAATTTCTCCTTAACTCTAGGTTGGATCTCTCTTCGCGAAGTTTCTATCCATTAGTTCTTGTCTTGCTCTCAGGTGCTTTGGAGAATAAATTGTCCCTCTCTTCTTTGTGACAAGTTCTCAAATATTGGAAGATTGCTTCATGGCACCTCTAATCATTTCTTTGTTAGACTAGACATACCCAGTTCCTGCAAGTGCCGTGATCATTTCTGCTGTTTTCCGTATTCTTTCTAGAGTTACAATGTATTATTTTTATCATGGTGACCAGAACTGGGCACTGTATTCCAAGTGTGTCAGGCTGATTGGATTCTAGTTTCCTGGATCCGTTTTTTTCCTTTTTTGAAATGGGAACCAATCAACTCTTTCCTAGTCCCCTGGTAGTTCCTGGGATTCCAGGTTCTTTGAAAGATTTAGTGGTTTATTGGTTCTGAAATCACAACTGCCAACAACTTCAGAAATGAAGGATGTAATCCATTTGAATTCTTCTAAGGTGGACAGGTATTGTCCTTTGGGTCAGGGTGTTTCAGAACTGGCTCTGCAGTGAACAGGCACTTCAACTTTTCAAAAGCTGCCTGGCAATCAAGGGACCAATCCGGGGGCTGCCTAGGCTTTGGTTTTGCCCCTCCCTATGTCTTTGGCAAATTGGTTATTGGTAGGGCTATCTGGGCAAAAGTGAGGATTAATTGGTGGTAAAAGTTTGTGAAGCCCAGGAAACTCTATAGTTGCCTTCTGGTCTGAGGGAACTCCCATTCCAGTGTTGCCTTCACCTTACTAGGATCTATCTCCACTCCCTCACTGAAGATCTAATATTCCAGGTAGTCTAAGCAGGTCTTGTGAAACTCATAGTACAGCATGTAGAGTTGGGCTTCCTGCAGTTTACTGAGTACAACTCTGACTAGCTTCACATGTTCATCAGGGATCTCAGTGTATATCAATATATCATTCAAGTACACCAAGACTCCTTGTACAGGTGCTTATGCAGGACCTCATTTATCAATTGAATGAATACGGCAGGAGCCCCTTGCTGCCCAAATGACATCACTTGAACTGATAGTAGCTTAACAATTAAACACTGTTTTCCACTCATCCCCTTCCTTAATCCTTACTTGGTAATACACCTTCAAGTCCAGCTTTGTGAAGATTTTCCCATTTGCCAAACAGCTTAGCATGTTCCTCATAAGGGGGAGAGGGTACAGTACATATTTTCCACACATATGCAATTCAGCCCACTGTAGTCAATGCACAGTCTAAGGGACCCGTCCTTTTTTTGAAAAGCATCGGGGCTGCCATTTTCAATTTCACTGGCTGGGTTTTTGTCTATGAACGCCTGGAACTCATCCATCTCTCTAGGGGTCATAGAATACATTTTCAGCTTAGGCAGTTTGGCTCCTCCCTAATTGGTAGGTTGGTGAGGTGGGAGCACATCTGATTCCTTTTTGCTAAAAACTCTCAGCTAGGTCACAATATTCTGCTGGAATTAGCGGTTCTAACCCACCATCTCCTCTTAATGTATTTGTGGCTTCCACTTCTACTTTTCTAGCTGCAGGCACATGAGTGGCTCCTTGCACTTTCCCTGGCTCTTGCTGATTAATGGCTCTTCTTTGCATCCACCACCTTTCTCTATCCCAGCTCACAGGGTGGTTCCATTTTTTCCACCATGCTAGTTCTAGCATGGGCTCAGTCACCCGGGGGACTACAGTAAATGTAATAGTCTCTACTTGAATCCCCACTTTGAGCCAAACCAGCTCGGTTAGGCAGGTGGCTGGCTTGCCTCCTGTTATTGACCTGTCTAGTTGGGAAATGCCATGGGTCGCATCAGTTTCGTTAGCCTCAGTCCTAGCCTTTCCATCACCTGGATGCTGACCATGCACTGGGTGCAACTGAGTCAAGAAACACCGTGATGGCCTCCCTTGCCCCCAAGAAGAGCACCATAATCTCCACTTGAGCTGTCATGGGGATGATGATGCCACTTACCAATTGGATCGTCTTCCCCCTCACTATCATTCTCATAGAAGACTAAATCCTTTCAGTAGTTGGTTGGAGTTCCCTCCTCCTTGCTAGACTGAGGAGAGAACTCAACCACTTGCTGCCACATGCATGTCTTCTCCTTCGGCTTTGCTGGGGGTCTCTTTTCTTGGGTTGGCTAGTGGGCATAGGAGTGGTTGTTGGTCATGGTGTGAGGCACTTGGCTGCTCAATGGCAGGCTTAGGGGCTTGGCAAGGGTTGCCTCCACTGGCCGAGGGTGTGCCCCCTTCCCACCCCAGGGCCTGGGCATCTCTTAGGCATCTCTCAGGCTTTCCTGCATGGTGTGCTCTTGGAACTCCATCAGGTTGATCTCCACTTCACTGGCCACTTGGAACCACACTTGCAAGTTCCTCAGCACTCCTCAGCTATACCAGTTCTGGTATAGCTCTCAATCTAGTCTCCCTTGGAAGTAGGAGACCAGCATGCACTTGGGCCAGTCAGGAAGGTGGCTGGCTAGGTTGCAGAAGTCCTGGATGTACTCTGCCACCAGCTGCTTTCCCTGCTTAAGGCTGCGGATGTAGGATTCAGCACCCCAGGCTACCATGGGATCCTCGAACTGCCCCCCCCCCAGGATCTGCATGAACACACCTAGATTGCCCAGCTCCCACACTTCAGCATTGTACATGGAAACCAGCCATCCAGCAATGCCACCCTCCAGGTTGGGCGCCACTGCATGAACCTGGGCTGCATCGACTGGGTACATTTATCCATAGCGCTCCATCTGGGCTAAGAGGTGAGCCAGCTTGCTCGAGACCCCATCAAACCACACCATGGGCAATGGTCACTCAACTCTGACCACAATGTACCCAGGCAGTAGGACCATTGGATCCTATCTGCTAGTGAAGAGATATAGAAGTTTATGTGGCCAGCTGCCCTGTGTGCGCTTTAATGAAATAAATGCCTGGGAAGCCCCACCCTCCAGGTTACTGTAGCTGGTAGCCAACCCAATGAACCCCTGGGTGGACTTTATTGTGGATTTGCCAGAGAGACAGGTGTAATTTGGACCATTACAGACATATTCTCCAAGCAGGCACATTTTGTGGTGTGCCCAAAGATTCCCTCCACCCAATAATAGACCAGAATTAAAACAGTGATGCTTATACTAATAATTTGTAGGCAAGTACATGCTCAAAAGACCAGGAAGATAAAATACTTTCATATTAGGGATTTTAAGAGAATTGGTCAGTTTGTCCTGTATCAAATTAAAATTGACTCCTTCCTTCAGGCAAAAAGTTGTGTATTTAGAGCATATGAACAGAAGATGGACTAAAAAAAATCATTAAATTTGTCAAATTGAGGGAAGTAAAAAGAGAAGACAATGGATAAGATTAGTATGATGTCATTGGAAGAACAATTGGGATTATTAAAATCAAGTCAGGATGGCAAGTATTCGTTCTCATAGCAGGACATGCCATTTACAAGGAATCAAACCTATTAGCTCTTGTTTGCATTTATCATTCTTTTTTAATGGAATATGGTAAAATAAAATTAATTTCAATATATAATGATCAACAATAATGATTACTATGCCTGCAAATTATATATTTTATAACATTCTCATCTGTTTCTCACCAAATATCAAATATGTTAAGGTGACCAACCGTCCTCCTTTAGGGAGGACAGTCCTCCTTTTGTAAGTTCTGTCCTCCCTCGAAAAGTGTCCTCCTACATGCCCTCCTTTTCGATATTTGAAGACTAATCTGCAGGGCTTTTTTTCTCCTCATAGAACGCTCAGAACGGCGTTCCGGCACCTTTTTTTCGTGGTTTTTTTTTCAACTTTTGCATGAGTTGGGCTACTCCCTCTATTGGCTTTCAGAAGCCAATAGGAATTGCTGCTGAGTGTGCCAAAACAGCTGGCCGGTAAACTTTGCACATGCAAGTTGTCTGCAGCGAAGGCGAATTGGCAGGAACTTTGCACCCCTCCCTGCTACCCAACTACACCATCTCCTAGTTAGTCCCGAAGGTACCTGGAGGAGACTAACTTCCATTTAGGGATGGAAAAATCAAAAAAGAGGAAATGCCATTTCAACGATAAATTGAATAAGGAATTTCCATACATCACATCAAAGAAGGATAACATTGTTTTCTGCAATATTTGCAGTGGAGAATTTTGTATTGCAGTTGGGGGCAGAGCAGCTATTACAAAACACTTGACCACCAAGAAACATAAGCAATCATCAGATGCATCTGCTTCCAGTTGTAAAGTAACAAGTTTTTTTAAAACTTCAAAGTATTCTGAAGATGAAAAACAGTTAGCTGCAATGAAGGGAACATTTGCATTCCATACCATACCATAATTCACAATCAAAGTTTTTGTAGTATGGATTGTACAACTAAATTATTGAAAAAGTTTCACGATGCTAAATTTTCATGCGCCAGGACAAAATGCGAGGCTATTATTAAATCAGTATTTAAAAATTACTGTAACAAAATACCTACAGAAGACTTGGAAACTGCAGCATTTGTAATGGTTTTATCTGATGCATCCAATCATAATGAAACTAAATTGTATCCAATACTAATAAGATATTTTAATGTTACCAAGAGCATTCAAGTAAAAATTTTAAATTTAGAATCCATTGAGGGCGAAACTGCTGAAATTTTGTCAAACCATCTATACAGAGTAATAAATGAAAACAATTTGAAATCCCAAGTTGTTGCATTAACAGCTGATAATACAAACACAAATTTTGGTGGGTGAAGACACAAAGGGGTGAATAATGTATATGTAAAATTGCAAGATTTACTCCAAAAGAAAATACTAGGAATAGGTTGTAATGCACATATTTTGTCAAATGCAATCAACACGGCATCATGTGCCATGCCAATTGATGTAGAAGTAATAATAACTACAATTTATTTGTATTTTAGTCGTTTTACAGTTCGTGTGGCTACTTTAAAACAATTTTGTGAAGAAGCGAATGTTCAATACAAAAAACTTTTAGGATATTTAAAAGTTAGATGGCTTGCTCTAACACCTGCTATAGACTGTGTTCTACAATTATTTGAGCCTCTCCGTTCATATTTTTTAAGTTTAGACAAATGTCCTAAAATCCTGGAATCGTTTTTCAATAATAAAATATCTGAGATATCAATGTATTTTGTAGATAGTCAAGCATCTATTTTTCACAAAACAATTCAAAAGATTGAAGGTGAACACATTTCAGCTACAGAAGTTAGTCTTATTTTGAATGACTTTATCCTTCAATATAAAGCTCAATTTGAAGAAAAATTTCTTCCTTAGTTATAAAAAGAAAATTGTCAGACTTAGAGGAATCAAATCTGGGCATAACGGAAAAGTTTATCAAAGAAGTGCAGAATTTTTATCAAACATGTTTTCAATATATCGAAGAATGGTCTGAAACAAACATCATTGGAAATAAGTTTTCAATGGTGTTTTTTGACTTCATCGCAAGTATATTGGACAGATATTGAATCTTGTGTTGAGTTTTTAATCTAAAGAAATGCCAGACATTAAAATAGATGACAATGGTCTCTTTGAAGAAATTAAAAGACTGAATGTATTTTTAAATTCTGAAAAATTAATACAATGGGAAAATAAAGATGTTGAAATTGATAAAAGATGGGTGGAAATATTCAGCCATTTCAAAAATGAACATATTCCATGTGAAAATTTCTTTATTCTTGTTCAATTTACGTTGTGCTGCCCTGGAACTAATGCAGCAGTTGAAAGGGTTTTTTCAAGTGCTAATGATTTTTGGAAAACTGAGAAATCGAGACTGAATGTTGATACTCTAGCTGCAGCACTTGCCGTAAAATTCAATATGAAGGATATTTCTTGTTCAGATATTTCCAATATATTGTTAGAAGATTGACAAAAATATTCATTCAATGGAAAAGTATTCATTTAAATAATAAATAGGCATGTAAGCATAATTACAATATAAAATATTATTGTTACAAATGTTTTTATTATGCATTTATCATATTATAGTGTATTCTGTATTATTGTTGCAATGAATAAAATGTTTATTTTATTTACGATATTTTTTTCTTCAATTTATTTGTGTCTTCCTTTTCATTGTAAAAAAGTTGGTCACCTTAAATACGTCTAATCAGATTTGATCTTATTTACAAGAGGATGAAAGGCCTCATGGCAACCCATTGCTGAGTAAACTTTAGCAATAGGTTCCTGGCCTGAATATGTTCCTCAGGCCTGTTATTCTTATTAGGAATAGGTTTATGAAATACCTAATTTTTATCTCTTCCTTGCAGGTGGAATTCCATTTATCCTCACCGCAGAGTTCTTTCCACAGTCTCAAAGACCAGCAGCATATTTGATTGCTGGAATAACCAACTGGCTCTGCAATTTCATAGTTGGACTCCTTTTCCCTTTCATTCAGGTATGGGTTCCAAATTACAGAAGGCACTAGAACATTTTAAAAAGGGCAAAATATGATTTGAAGTGAAATCTATACTTAACTCTCTTGATCTAGTTATAGTGGCTTTTCTCAGTTCATTTTAAAACATCTGATTTAACCCAAAGGTGCTTTTTCAAGAGGCAACTGGACTTTCTTGATGTTCTTTGAAGATGTGTCACTTCTCATTGGAGAAGCTTCTTCAGTTCTGACTGGATGGTGGGGAATGGAAGGATTTATATTCCTTGTAGACAGCTGTTATTTGCATTCTTTTAGAGAGTCATTGAGGTCCCTTGGAGATTTATCTGTGTCCTCAAGGTCACCTGAATGGTGCAAATGGATGTGGAGCCTTCTTGGAACTGCTGAAAGGACTGTATTGTAGACTGGAGATAGAGGATGTATTAGAGAATTTTAATTTCTCTATTGGTGAAAAAATAAATCAGAAGCTCTCACAGTTGACTGCATTTAGCTGATTCAAAATAACTTCTTTATATTTATATCAAAATATTTACAATACCATACATTCTTCTTTACAGCAACATAGCTCAATGAAGACTTCTTACAGAGAGATACAGAGACAGACCTAAGACTGAAAATTCAGCTTCTAACTCAATACCTTTTTGCACAGATTCAGTAGCACTTTCTTCACATTGGCTGACTGAGATACCACATGACTCTTCCTGCTAATGAATATTCCAACACTCCTCCCTTCATGACAGGAAGAGACATCAGACTTATTGACTTAATACATTCTCCATAGTGAACACTACCCAATGGTTTAGTCATCATGTCTGCCAAATTATCCTCAGAAGAACAATGATGTAAACTAATCAATTTTCCTTTTACAGCTTCCCTGACATTACAATACTTAATGTCTACATGTTTACTTCTGTTCTTCACCCTGTCACCAGTTGCCATTTTTATACAGGCAGCATTGTCTTCAAATACCTTTACAGATTCTTTTACATTAATATTTAAATCTTGCAACAACTGTACATACCATGTTACTTCAGAACACAATTCAGATAAAGCAATAAACTCTGCTTCCGCTGTTGAAATAGCAACAGTTGTTTGTTTTCTGGACTTCCATCCAATCAGAGTCCCTCCAAACAATATTATAATCCCAGAAGTTGATTTCCTTGTGTTTATGTCATTTGCATAGTCACTATCAACATAACACTTTAATTTCAATTCCTCAGTAATCTGTATTTGAAGACCCAAATTTATAGTTCCCTTTAAATATCTGAGAACCCTTTTTACACCCATCCAATGTAACTTTGTAGGTGCAGCAGTAAAACGACTCAAAATGCTTACTGCGCAAGCTATGTCTGGTCTGGACCACTGTGATAGATATAACAAACTCCCTATTGCCGAGTGATATATCTCTTGATCACAGGTTTCACCTTTGTCCGCACTTAAACTATTATAAAAATCCGTGCTCATGGATGTGGGAGCAGTATTGCTAACTTTCATATTATATTTCTCCAATAACTGCTCACTTTTTCTCCTTTGACTGAGAATATAACCACCTTTTTCATTTTTCTGTATCTCTACACCGAGATAATTTTTTATTTCTCCCAAATTCTTTAATTCAAATTTCTTTCCTAATTTATCAGCAAATTTCTTGACTTGTGATGCATTCTTTGCGACGAAGCAAAGATCATCCACAAATGATAACAATAAACAATTCCGTCCTTGTAACTGTCCAATATATATACAATTATCAGCTTTGCAAATTTTAAATCCAAGATCCTTTAAAGCAGTATCTAAACAGATATTTCCAGTTTCTGGCTGACTGCTTCAATAAATAGCCTTGTTTAATTTATACACCATGTTAGGTTTTGCAATTTCATATCCTGATGCTTGGATCATATAAATTTCTTCCTCTAACTCAGCATTGAGGAATGCAGTTGTGATATCAAAGTGCCAGATTTTATGCTTATATGCCGCTGCCAACGCCAGTGCTAATCTTATACTCTCACTTTTCACAGTTGGCGCAAATACTTCATCGTAGTGCACATTCTTTAATTGTGAAAAACCTTGTGCCACTAACCTGGCCTTATACTATATATCAGGCAATACCTTTTTCTTATATACTCACTTACAACCCACAGCTTTGGTTCCCTGTGGCAAATTCACTGATTTAAATACTTCATGGTCTCCCATGGATTTTATGTCTTTATCCGTGGCTTCCTTCCATCTTTCTTGTTCAGCTTTTGGTAATGCCAACACCTCTTTATAACTTCTTGGCTCATATCATACATTGCAAACTTTTATCCTTGCTGGCAGAATACCTGTCAGGCAGAATTCCTTTGTTACATCGCTCTGACCTACGTGGTATTAACTGCTCCTGTGTCTCAAGTCTTTCTGGCTTCACATCTTGTTTATCTCTCCTCCCTGAACATTGACATCTTCAATAATCATTTTTCCATCATTGGATGAGTTATTGTCATTAAATAGATCACTGTCATTAAGTGAGACATACCCAGAATTTGCATTAATTCTGTCCCAATTGGACTTCCGGTGGATCAAGCAGCGACGATGGCGGCTTTTTAAGAATCACGGATCGCGTAAAAGCCGGCGGGACTTTGACAATCAGCTGTCCCGTGGCTTGAATCTCTTCCCTGGGAGAAAGGGAAGAGAAGAGCCGTTCAGGTAGAGGAAGAGCTCCCCTGGATTCCTATATTTTGGGGATTGGAGGGTAGAGCTCCCTCGGAGCCTGAGCCATCTCCACGCTCCAGGACGTCTTTGTCCCGAAGTTCTGGGACGAAGCAAGACGCCGCTCCCACATCTGCTTTTTTCGGTGGTTTTGTGAGTATTTAAAAGCAGACGGAGTAGACCAGGAGAAAGTGGATTTAAGATTGATTGTGACTTTGACTCCTGCAAGTATCTTCTCCCCTTTTTATTGTTTACTTTCCCTTTTGAAGAAAGGGAAAGTGAAAGGCAAAATGGCGATCGTCTTTCTTGTTTGATTTTGCAACAAAGTTAAAAGTGGGATATAATTCATGCTTCAAATATAGAGGCAGGAATCTTGTTCTTTTCCCCCTCCTTTTTCTTTTTTATTATTATTATTATTTAAAGAACTGTGATATTATTGAGGCAAGAATTTTTTGCTCCTTTGAATTTAAAAGAATGGCTTCAAAACATTTTGTCTCAGTCCCTAAAGCTTCTATCTCTTCCCCAATGACTCAACCTGCTTCTCAGTCTAAACCAAAGTCACCCCCACCCTCCCCTCCTCCTGCAATTTCTCTTATAGATTTACAAGATGCTTTAAAAATGAATGCTTTGGATATTAAAGAGGAGGTAAAAGATCTTATAATTGCAGAGAGGGCTATTACAGAAGAATTACTGGAGAAAAAAAATCAGCAAGTCATAGATGATATATTATTTGCGTTTCAAGGTCTTGCTTTGCACATTGAAAGGATTGATGATAAAATGGAGGCGATTACTGAAAATGCAACAAGACTGGAATCTAGAATGGAGGAAGTGGAGAATAAGATAGAATCTACACAGGATGAACAAACTATATCACAATACAGAGAAATGGAGTTTGCATTGCGTATCAGGGGATTGAAAGAAAATTCGCAGGAAGATTTAAAGATGCTTATTGTTAAAGATATTGCTTTTAATTTTGGATGGAGACCAGAAGAAGTTGGGAATGAGATAGAAAAAAATTTTAGAGTCAACTCACGGGTTGCTAGACAGAGAAATCTACCAAGAGATGTAGTTATTTATTTTTCCAGAAGATCTATTCGCAATGAAATTATACAGGCTTTTTATAAACAGAGGTTTCAAATTGCAGCCCAAGATGTGATAATTTTAAAAGAAATACCTCCAAAAATTCTAAGAGGCAGAAAAGACTTCATCTTTTTGTCTGATGAATTAAAACGTCGCCAAATCCAGTTTAGATGGGAGATTCCAAGAGGAATAGTAGTGAATTATGATGGAATACGTTACAGATTAACTACAGTTTCAAAGGCAAGAGATTTTTATTATTCTATCTTAAAGGCAGGACCGTCCTCTCCCCCACAAACAAGGGAAATTGAAGAGCCTGTTATGGCAGGAGCCTCTTCACAGATGGTTATGGAACAAGTGGTGTTGCCTGCACCGGATTTTGAGATAAAAGAACAAAGAATGACACGAGCTGCCCATAAACGTAAAGAAAAAGAGCAGCAGCAGAAGAATGGTGATAAAGTAGAAGGAACGCTTACTACAGAGCCTGTGGGAGGGGCAAGACCTAAAAGATCTTCGACAACTGATCTTCAGGCCATGCTTCAAAGGCTTCAGGCCGGTGCAGATGGCAAAGTTCCTGACGTGGAATGTTAACAGCTTAAATTCACCACAGAAATGGAGAAAAGTTTTCCACTATTTGAAACAACATAATAATGACTTAATATGTTTACAAGAGACTCATATAGCTTCAAAGGACTTAAAATATCTGATAAATTTTCGTTTGGGATCACATTTTATAGCTCGGCTCCAGGGAAAAAAGGGGGTGTTGTGATTTATGTGAAGAAAAACTTATCGGCTAAATTAATAGAGGCTGATTCTGAAGGTAGATATGTTTTTGTGGAATTATTATTACAAGGCAAGAAAGTTCTTATTGTTGGATTATATGCCCCTAATCAACAACAGAAGCAATTTTATCAGCTTTTGCATGGCAAGATATCTCAGTTGGATTACAAATCTGTAATTTTGATGGGTGACTGGAATGGAGTTTTGGACTTAACCATAGATAAAAAGAGCTCTTCTAAAACTTTTACTCAAACTAAATTACCCAAAACTTTTTTTGATTTGAAAGAAGAGTTGGAACTTATTGACATTTGGCGAGACAGGAATACAAGTGATAGAGATTTTACTTTTTATTCGGATAGACATCAGTCATTTTCAAGGATTGACTTCTTTTTGATTACTAGTAATTTTCTTTCTAGGGTGAGGAAGGTAAAAATCTTTCCCAGGACTTTGTCAGACCATAGTCTGGTGTG